GAGAGAGAGAGGGGGGATAGAGAGAGAGAGAGAGAGATAGAGAGAGTGGTTTATTCAATTAAAAAACATTTGCAGCACCAGTGCTGAATTGCGATTTCTGTACACATGTACGCAATTCGAAATCTTAGACTCATCAGCATTATACATGACAAATAAGGATTAAAACAAGTTACATATCCAATATATTCACTACTAACACGACTCAAATTCTGTTATAACATTGACTAACATTAATATGATAAACGCCGGGTAATCCTAGTAAATGGTTGCTTTAGGCGACGTATTTCCAGTATAGATTTGTAGTTTGTATTAAACATTTTTTTTGGTCAATACCATTTTTTTGTGGAGTAAGCGCTGCATATTCAACTCCAGGTGTTACTTTAGCTATTACGTGATTATGTCTCAAGTAAGTCGGACCGGTGTGTTCAGATTGAAAGTTGGTTGAAGATTGGGTGTCAAGTTTGGTTGGCAAGGTTTGCTTCAATCTAAATTGAATGGGAGCACTTGCGTCATACACGGTAAAACCTGTGCCAATTTGTCAGTCACTGCAACAAAAATCGGGATTAACCAATAATGATAAACGCCGGGTAAGCCTAGTAAATGCTTCGGTCCCAATTGAAAAAAGGGTCCCTGCCCGGTAGTTCCCGGGCTGTTTTATGGTACTTTCAGGCGTGATCCCTACGTGGCCCCGCGGGACACCCTGCGGCTACCGGGCTATTTTTCGGCCCGGCGCGGCGGGGACCCGAGAAGAATTTAATTCTGACTTAAATTCTACCCGGGCCCCGCTGACAAAAAGACGCCGTGACAGAGCTGTGAGAACACCGAGAGGTACCCCTCCGGTTGCCGGCATTCCGCCGGGACACATTTGGCACATCACAGAACAGATTAACAGAATAAAGGTGTGTACTTCGTAAACCCGGGTAAAAAGTGTGACGTCACAGATAAAATGATCACAACAAAAGCGTGAATTCTGCATTAAGTATAGGTCAGTACAAGACATCGTCAGAGAATCTGCCGGGTGCCTGCCGGGTGCCTGCCGGAGACCGACCAAAGAGGGTGACACAATTTTTAACAAAATGCTACTGAAGGAAACTTTTAATTGTGACCATGACAGCCGATGCCCGCCCGACTCCTGAGCCCGGCTGGGGCTACATCCCCGACGGGCACCGGCGCAATTGGGACCGAAGCTTAAATGGTAGCAAAATCACCTGTACTGATGTCAAAAGTAGATGGACGATTAGGTGTTTAAAGGATAGGGAAGGGCTAGTGACAAATTGAAGATTGTGCTAATGGAGCGTCCCAGAGCTTCAAGGCTCATAAGGCTAGCTAGGGTAATCCTGCGTGGTTCGGTTGAATTCATTACTGAATCATTTTACATGAAATCACGGAACTGCGGCCAGTCTTGTCGAGTTAAAGCGCCTTTCCTCGCTGGATTAGCCTTTTCTTCAAAAGAGCACACAGCTTCAAAAATGGCAGTGCTACACGTGTGTGTCCCTTCAACCAACCAATTATGACAACGTGAGAGCAGTTCGCAGAGATAAATGACATTTGCGGCCTTAAGGGGCGGTCACCTTCAGCAATTCTCAAAGTCGGAATGCCTTTTTGATTTGTGGTAAACTGGGCGTCCGTGTCCCTACGGACCTGCCACGTGGAAGGAAAATGTTACGGCAGGCCTTTCCCAAAATTGGTGCCAAGGGCCATCGTTTTCGCACGTTGCTATTGCCGTGAACGCTCGACTTTCCTAATATATTCGGCGTCACTAAAAGCCTTCTCTGCGTTGAGGGACCACTTGTTGCAACGCCGGAATAAAATAAAAGATCTAATGCGGGAATTAGATGTCAGAAGTGTGGGGAAGAGATGCATCGGGGCATGACACGTCTGTCCTTGGTGCTGAATGCAGTCCACGTACACACACAGGGAAACTGGCATTGTGGCATGTATTGAACTGATCACACAGTATTAGACACTTTATTTGTTTATTTACCATTTGCACGTATATCAAAAACAATTACACAATCAAATAATAATAATCAAAGAATGTGCGGGGTAGGCCAGAAACCTGGGTGGTTTTTCTAGAGGCCTACCCCAAGCAAAGATAACTTATGACAAAACATATTTAAATTAAACATCAAAATTAAACAATGAAATAATTAAACAATGATTAATTCAACAAAATCAAGACACAGAAATAATAACTGAAGTGTATAAACTAACTAAAACGAAATTAAACAAAAGTCTTATACCTGTAATTCAGGTAGATGTTACAGATTAAACTGATTAAATAATTAACATAAGAATTAACGATTAAAACAAAATATTAACAATAACAAGGAAAACAAACAAATCAGATTGTAGATGTACTGGGATTTTGTAGGAAAAAGTTTTTAAGAAGTTTTTTAAATACAGGAGTTGACTGGCAGTTTTGTAACAGTTGGCTTAACTCGTTCCACACTTGGTTCTGAACATTGTGAACAATTACAAAGTACTGAACACTACATAAAAACAGACCTGTCCTTGGTGCTGAATGCAGTCCACGTACACACACAGTGCAACAGGCATTGTGCCATGTATTGAGCCGATCACACAGTACTGGGCACTACATAGAGACAGTCCTGTCTTTGGTTCTAAACATTGTGAACAATTACAAAGTGCTGGACATATAAAAACAGGCCTGTCCTTGGTGCTGAATGCAGTCCACGTACACACACAGTGCAACAGGCATTGTGACATGTATTGAGCCGATCACACAGTACTACATGTAGTACTGGACACTACATAGAGACAGGCCTGTCCTTGGTTCTGAACATTGTGAACAGTTACACAGTACTGGACACTACATAAAGACAGCCCTGTCCTTGGTCCTGAACATTGTGAACAATTACACAGTACTGGACACTACATAGAGACAGGCCTGTCCTTGGTGCTGAACATTGTGAACAATTACACAGTACTGGATACTACATAGAGGCAGCCGTGTCCTTGGTGCTGAACATTGTGAACAATTACACAGTACTGGACACTACATAGAGACAGACCTGTCCTTGGTTCTGAACATTGTGAACAATTACACAGTACTGGACACTACATAGAGGCAGCCCTGTCCTTGGTGCTGAACATTGTGAACAATTACACAGTACTGGACACTACATAGAGACAGACTTGTCCTTGGTTCTAAACATTGTGAACAATTACACAGTACTGGACACTACATAGAGACAGCCCTGTCCTTGGTTCTGAACATTGTGAACAATCACACAGTACTGGACACTACATAGAGACAGGCCTGTCCTTGGTACTGAACATTGTGAACAGTTACACAGTACTGGACACTACATAGAGACAGACCTTTCCTTGGTTCTGAACATTGTGAACAGTTACACAGTACTGGACACTACATAGAGACAGTCCTGTCCTTGGTGCTGAACATTGTGAACAATTACACAGTACTGGACACTACATAGAGACAGCCCTGTCCTTGGTTCTGAACATTGTGAACAATTACACAGTACTGGACACTACATAGAGACAGCCGTGTCCTTGGTGCTGAACATTGTGAACAGTTACACAGTACTGGATACTGCATAGTGACAGGCCTGTCCTTGTCTTCCTCTGTCTTCAAAAAAGAAGTCAAACCCAGTAGTTTTTACTAGTAGTTTCT